CTATTTCATACCTGACAATGCATGAGAAAGAGCAGAGAGGTAACACATGGAGGTTGCTAAGGGTTCAAGCTGTAATCCCCTTAGAGGCCATGTGAGCCCTGCCATATCCCTAAGCTGTATGTTGACAGAGCTTCTCCCACTGGAGAACAATTTTCCCTAGAACAGGACCTCACTGGGAACCCACATTTGAATGGCTCCAAGGTAATATAAGCATTTCTAGGCTTTAATACATGAATGTATTATTTGGGGGATGACTGCATTTCTCCAAAAGTTGCACTTATTTATATAAAAGAAAAGTTTCCTTAACCTCCAGCTGCATACTACTGAGATATCCAGAATGGTTAGAAATCTCCAGTGTAAAAGTGGTTTTCATTACAACATCGAATTTGATAAATGCTTGCAATGGAACAGGATATTTATAGAATGTTCAGCAGTCTTTGTCAAATACTTATTTTAGATTTTTAAAATAAGGAAACAGATCTTGAGAGAAATCCCTCCCCCGCCTCCTGTGCACCTGCTCTGGGGCTGGAGCCTGTACTGGGTGAGCTTGGAGCATCTCCTGCAGCCCAGCCCTTGCACTGCAGAGAGGCTTCTGTCTGGACTCCCAGAGCATTTCCCCCCAGTGTGAAGAGGGTGTGCTCTGGCTCAGAATGCTCCTTTAGTGACACGTGACACCATGTGCTGCTGACACCATCTCTGACAACAGTAAATTGGCAGTAGGAAAGCCAGTGAACTCTGCAGAAAGCCCCCAAGCAAGGATTCTATGAAACCACCAGGGAGCCCCTTCTCTGGAGCTCTGGAATCACTGGATCAGTCCACACTCGCAGTGAGTCCAGGAGCTCCCAGGGGCTTTGGGAGAACACCTAATCTCTTTTCAGTTCATTCGGATGAACATCTCATCAGATAATTTCTAAACCTACAAAATCCTGGGGCTCAGAGCCCACGCCACAACTCCTAATCTACACACACACACACACACATACACACACGCACGCACACAAACACAGAGTGACTAGAGTCCCCACAGTAATGGGAGGGAAACCTGACTTTCTCCCTGTGTCCAGCACATTGGTTGTGAACCCACAGTGCCCCTAGGCCTGGGGATATGCCCTTGTCAAGCAGAGCAACAGCAAACACCTTACACCTGGAGATGGGGCCCAGCACACACTGTGGCTTCCCTGTTCTCCAGGACCTGGGATCCTGCAAATGCCTCTGAGAAGCATCCAGGCTTCTTCTGGGAGGGTCAGACATAGCCCAGCCCCACCACGTCGGGGCAGCCCACACTGAGCCGCTGACCTGTGGGGAGAGTCACAGCAGACCCACAGCCCAGCCAGCCCCACTCCCAGAGGCACATCAAGGAAGGGGGCAGAACCCTGGGGACTGTTGATGGGGACCTTCTCAGGAGCAGATACAGGCACTGATCAGGAACAGGGGACCTGGGAAGGTGAGTAGCTGCTCAGGGTTTCTGAGGACCAGTGTCAGTGATGGGACCTGCCTGTCCCTTCTCATGTGGGGTGTCTCTCCTGGAGGTCCTGTCCTGTCTTACTTGTGCAGGTCCACTCTGTGGGGTTTGTCTTTATAAATCTCAAATCTCAGGAGCAGGAGAGCTGTGCTTCAAAAGCCCCCATAGAGAAGATACATTCTCATCCTGGTGTGATTGAAACAGCTCCATCCTGGGCGTGGGGAGGGCTCATGTGTCCCCCCACTGGGATGAGCACTGGCAGCTGCACGTGAGCTGAGGAGGACTCAAGGCTGCTTCCCAGCACTTCCCCCAAGAAGGAAATTTGTGATTCCCCCATATCCAGGCTGGCCCTGTGACTTGCTTCTTTCAAACTTGTTGGCCTGGAAAGTGCAGGCACCGGCTGTCACTGTCACCACTGTGGTGACACTGTACATACCACTAGAGCAGGAGCCTGGGGATGGGGCTGAGCACAGACACTAGTTAGGTGAACCCATTGGAAACTTGGGGTTCACACTCCTGGAAGCACAGATCCTAGAGGGTTTGGTGGAGGAGGAAGTCACTGTCAGTGACTCAGGAGCTGCTGCTCTGCAGGTCACCTCATTGGCCGGTAGCAGTGGGCAGGTGAGTGTGGTTCTTCCCTACAGGGACGCCAGGCTTCCACATGCCCCTCCTCACCAGGAAGGAAAGTGGCTTTGTTCATCCTGGTTTCCCCAGCCGTCTGGTAATCCTCTCTTCCTGACCTCCTGCCCACGGCCCTCAGGCCTGTGACACATGGACAAAGGCGCTTTCTACTCCAACCGTTGATTCCCCAAGCCAGCCCCCTCTAGAAAATCCATGTCTTCCCGGTTCTGTGTCCGTGGCTGAACCAGAATGGACACACGTGGATATACCAAAGTGTCCAAGTGGAGGAGATGAGCCTTGGCAAATATCACTCGGGAAAGAGAAGTAAATTAGTTTGTGTGTAACGAGAGGGTGTGGAGTACGTCTAGAGGACACAGGAGCCAGGGGTTTCAAATTTTTTTAGTCACCTGGGTGGATCACCTGAGGGCAGGAGTTCAAGACCAGCCTGGGCAACATGGTGAAAGCATGTCTCTACTAAAAATAGGGGAAAAAAATTAGCTGGGCGTGGTTGCACATGCCTGTAATCCCAGCTACTTGGGAGGCTGAGGCAGGAGAATCCCTTGAACCTGGGAGGCAGAGGTTGCAGTGAGCTGAGATTGTGCCACTGCACTCCAGCCTGGGTGACAGAGTGAGATTCCATCTCAAACAACAACAACAGCAAAAAGACGGTAGGAATACATCTGAGCAATGTGTCCTTAGGCAATGTTGTCAGTGTGCAATGATCATGGAGTGTGCTTACACAAACCCACATGAAATACTATGCTACACCCAGGCTGTGTGGGAAAGCATAGTGCTCCTAGGTAACCAATCTGTACGGCATGTTACCGTACTGAACACTGTGGGCAGCTGAATCACCATGGTAGGTATTTATACACATGAACACATCTATAATGGAATAAATGCAGGGAAAATACAGTATTATAATCTAATGAGAACTTCATCGTGTGAGGTCTGTTGTTCACCGAAATTTCATGATGTTCAGGATTGTATTCAAGTTGCTGAAAATAAAAACAAAGCCAAAACACTGCCAACTGGATTAAAGCTTTTCTTCAGTAATGCAAGATGTTTGAGAAGTGTCCCCCAAAGCAAAAAGTGGAGAAGTTCATCACCACTAGACCTGCCTTAGAGGAATGCCAAGTGTCGCTGGTAGGTTCCCGGAGTAATGAAGTCACTGCATCTGATCCGCTCTGGCATCTGTCTTTTGATAGATTTGTGTAGATTTATTTTCATTTATCCTATGTTATTTCCTTCTATAAAGTCCTTCACCCTTCCCTTTGTAATTCTGTCTACTAAAGCAACTCATATTTAGCTGAACATGCTAGGGTCATTGGAATAAATTTCTTTCTTTCCTCCACCAAATCTAATGAGCTGTCTGCAGGGGTGCCCATCTCTGGTTTTATTTTCTTCCATTCCCATGGGATAATTTCCTTGTTCCTACATGAGGCCAACCCTCATTTTCATGTACATGGACCATCCAATCTTCACGCATCCAGGAACAGCTTCAGGAAATGTAAGCTGCCAGCTGCCCCATCAGCCTCCACCTGCACAGTGATCATTCCTTCAGCTTTCACACACGCTGGAGAATTTTCGACCCAGAAAGGCCTTTCACACCCACTCCCAGTACAGTTCTGGGACCCTGTATACTTCCCAGATACAGGTACTTATTCTTCCTCTTTGTTGTTAATTTTGTTTCATTTATTTCAGATTCACTTGGACATCGCCGATGATGGGAGTGACCAGCCTGTCCATCCCATTTTCTGTCCACTGTCAGACAAAGCCACCTGTGAGGCTGATCACCCTAGTGTGCTGCACTGAGGGGCCATCTGAACATACACTGACACCAGGTGTGTGAGTTATTAGAGGAGTCCAGGGTCAGCAGGTGACTGTGCCCCACAGGACACAGGTCTGTCCTGCAGTAGAGCCTGCATGACCTGGAATCGTACGTGTGCATGACCCGTGGTCTCAGCAGATCAGCTGAGGTCAGCTTCAGGCAATTCCTGTGTAACCTGCCCTGGGCGCCCACAGAGGACAGATGCATGACAAGGATGTAGGGGAATGATGTGGGTTAGGGGAATTGATGCTCCATCTTTATTGAGGCTCTACTCTGCACCTGGACCTTATGGAAGACTACAAAGAAGAGAACAAGAGTCCAGCCCCCAACAGCTCCTGGTTTAGGGTCAGCTTTAGTGGGATTTTAGAGAGTAGAAGACACAGGGATGATGCTGGAGTGGTTTTCTGTGGGATACTTTGGGGGAAGCAGAAGGTGGGCAGGAATCAGGACTCCATCTGTCTGGTTCTCATTATCTACATGGATTCTCAGAGTGGAAAGTGAGAGACATGACCTAGAACACAGGCCCCAGGGCTGATATCAGAGATGCCTGCTAAGTAAATGACTCAGCAGATATGTGGTGGGGTTTTCTTCTTGGATATATTTTTCTTTATAAAAATAATTTGAGAGATGTGTCCAGCCTTGGTGGGCTGCTTCTCCCTCCAGGAGATGGAGCTAACACAATTGTATCTGTGAATCTGCTTGGCTTTCCATCAGAAGATACCACAGACTAGGTTGTTTCAAATAACAAACATTAATTTTCTTATTGTTCTGGAGCTTTGATGTCCAAGATCTAGGTGCAGAAAGGGTTAGGTTTTTGAGAGGCCTCTTCCAGGCGTGCAAAGGGCCCCCTTCTCATGCAGTGCGTCCTCACATGGCCTCTCCTCTGTGTGCATGTGGAGAGAGAGGTCTCTCATGTCTTCCACTTCTCATAAGAACAAGAGTCCTACTGGATTAGGGTCCCACATTTATGACCTCAGTTAACTTACTTGCCTTCTTAAAATCCCTCTCTCCAAATACAGCGCCACTGGGATTGGGGTTTCAGCATATGAATTTATGAGCAGGACACGATGCAGTCGAAGACGCCAGTCAAGGGATGGTGAGAAGTCTTGGAATATTTTGCTTGTCAAGAAGGTAAAATAGGTCTTGTGGGAATTTGTTGAAAAAAAAGGTGCCAGTGACTGTTAAAAACCTCAGTGGTAAACAGAGAAATTTCTCCCTCCTTTCTTGCCTGCAGTGAGGATGTGAGGAAGTAGAACCACATCTAATAAAGAAAGGGGAGCCCTGGGGGCAGCTGAGGTGCTGGTGAGGAGGGAGAGCACTGAGCAGATGAGGAAGCCCCGCCCTCCCTGCACCTGCTCCTGACCCGGCCTCCTGCTCTGTGGGCCCCGCGCGCCCCCTGCTGGTCCTGAGCGGCACCTGCGCCCGCCCCCTCCGCCTCCCTGCAGGGAGGTTTGTGTCTGGGCTCACACTCACCTCCCCTCACTGTGTCTCTCGCACAGTAATACACGGCCGTGTCCGCGGCTCTCAGGCTGTTCATTTGCAGAGACAGCGAGTTCTTGGCGTTGTCTCTGGAGATGGTGAATCGGCCCTTCACAGAGTCTGCGTAGTGTGTGTAACTACTATCACCACCGATAACTGAGACGGACTCCAGCCCCTTCCCTGGAGCCTGGCGGACCCAGTGCATTTCGTAGCCACTGAAGGTGAATCCGGAGGCTGCACAGGAGAGTCTCAGGGACCCGCCAGGCTGGACCAAGCCTCCCCCAGACTCCGCCAGCTGCACCTCACACTGGACACCTGCAAACACAGAGACACCCTGGTCAGAAACTGCCACACATATCCACTGTTTCTCACACTCATATGCACATTCACTTAATCTCTCTAGTTTTCCATGAATCACCTTCTAAAATAGCAACAAGGAAAACCCAGCTCAGCCCCAACTCCATGGTGAGTCCTCTGTGTTCAGGGCTGGTCACCCCGTGGAAATGCCTTGAAATCCAGGGCTAAGGCTCCTCTCTCAGAGCTACAGGACCAGGGTTGGGTTGGTTTTCATCAGTAGAAGGAGGGCCCTATTTGCATGTCTCCTACTATATAACAAGCCCTCGGGTGGGACTCTTGAGGAGTAGGCTGTACCCAGATCAGAAGACGGTGCCCTGAGAAGTTTGCGGACAATGATGGTATTTGGAAAATATGCTGCCTTGTTATGAAATTGTGCTGTGATAAACCCTTTGCCTTGATCACCCTATTTCATGTTTAAATATTCGTGTAAATTATGTTCTGTAGGAGTCAATATTTTCTCCATTTACAAATGTGGAAGTGAACCCACACTTGGAGGGGGCTCTGTATGCATCTAGGAGCTCGTGTCTGGAATGAGTGAACCCCAGTATCTGACCCTGTGCTCCTCATCACTGGCTCTGACTGCTCCCTAAACCAACTTCAGTACAAAGCTGGATGTGCCCGGTGTGGTTTGAGAACCCACTTTCTGTAATAAGAGCATGTGCGATGTTGCTGCACTCCAGCTCTCACCTGAAAATATGGGGAGAATTAGGATCCAGGCACATTAATTTTCAGGTACTTCTGATATTTAACATATTTTTCTGTCTTTCTATTACTCCTTCCTTAAGTTTCAATGTGTTGGCTTGTAATACATTTTATGAGCCTTAATCTAAAGATAATAAACTTCACATATTTAAAATGTCCAATTAATAAACATGATATAAGTAATCATTATCAAGAAACTTGACGAATGAGTTCTTCTCAACATTTCCTCTTGTTCTGTTATATTCCTCCTCCTCTCCCCTTCCCTTCTTCTAGCATTTTCCCTGGCAACTGCTGATCTTCATTATACTACTTTAGATAAATTTTTATTTATCAAAATTTATAAAAAGGGAGTAACATAGTATATTTTCTTATTTGTTTGGCTTATTTTACTCAACATAAATAGTTAGATGTTTTACGTGGTTGTTCTGTGTCTCAGGCATTAACTTATTATAAATGATAGGTAGTATTCCAGTGAACACATTTATCATACTTTGTTTCTCTAGTAAGCAGCGTAACAATATTTGCATTCTTTTATTACTCCGGGTCTTACTAAAAAATCTTCTACACAACCTGGAAATGGACATAGATGACTAATATAGTTACTTATTTTTTTACAACAATGACATCAACAATAACAGATAAACAGAGAAGCTGGAATTTTGCAATTTTTTTTTCTTTTTTTCTTTGAGATGGAGTCTCAGTCTGTCGCCCAGGCTGGAGTGCAATCGCACGAACTGCAAACTCTGCCTGCTGGGTTCAAGCGATTCTCCTGATTCAGCCTCCTGAGTATCTGGGATTACAGGTGCCTGCCACCACATCAGGCTAATTTTTTAAATATATTTTTACTAGAGGGTTCCACCATGTTGGCCAGGCTGGTCTCGAACTCCTGACCTCAGGTGATCTACCTGCCTCAACCTCCCAAAGTACTGGGATTACAGGCATAAGCCACCGCAAGGGGCCAATTAAAAAAAAAAAAAAAACTTTAGATACTTGAAGTTTTAAGGTAAACATCAAATGTGGAATCGAGAGGGAGGAAAGTTTTTGTAGAGGGTAAGAAAGGTAGGGTATGAGCTGAAATGAAGCAGAGTATGGCATTCAAAATGTCATCTATTACAAGATATAAACACACATGTATAATGGATTGCTTGAAGTCAAGGGTGGAAAATGTGTTGTAGTGTGAATTTCTAAGGGACCACAGACTGAAGAGTTTTCCTATCCTCTTGACTTCCTTTTTGCAGACAGTCACAAAATCTTTCTGTCCCAACATGTGTGTCTGGGAGAGAAAAAGAGCCCACACTTCTGAAAAGCATTCAGATCCACCTCCAGTATCCCCATGGCAGAACTGAGAAATCACTCTGCAGGGCAAGCCACCAAAACCAGTATCTTAAGGGCACTGTTGCAACCCCTTAGGAACTGAGATGGGAAATGAGTTCTTCACCTAAATTCTACTGAGAACTACCTCCCCTCTCTTTCTTATTTATCGGAGCCTTAATCTGCAGGTCAGATCAGCAAATCTCGAATGTGATAACACCAAAGGAGAACGGTGGAGCTGTGGGAGGCAACAACTGGGGAAAACAAGAGGCCTCCACCTGAGGAAAAAGAGCGAGAACACACAGACCAACATCTCATCTGGAGGAAGTTCAGAAACACTGGAAAGCTCAAACCCGGACTCAGGATCACAATAGGAACCCATGAAATGTCAGAAAATCTCCCTTTATTCTATTGCTTTCCACCAATTTCACAATTGTCAGTTAAATAACATGTTAATCCACCCTAGGGAGCTGAACATGATTCTCTGGAGGAAGTAACAAGGTGAAGAGGCAAAGCCAAGCAGGAAAGAAAAACAACATTATCACTGGAGGATCTGAAGTCTCTGGTGGACACAGAAGAAAATACTTTAACTCTGATGTCCACTGCAAAATTTCAAATGTAACTCTGATAAGTTTCACAGACTCTTCCACAATAAAGGCCTGGGAAAGATAAAGTGTGATCAAATACAGGTAGAAAATGCATAAAATCAAATAGTAAGCCAATATCAACTGTCCAACCCAACATGTGTGGCTGTCAACAATTATTTCATATATTAATGAGAAATACCAATGTTGTAATAAACGAATGATCAGCATGAGATTTGTAAATGATACAGATATTATAACTATTTAATTAAATAAGATATGTAAAGGAACTATAATTAATATGTAAGAATCTCTTAAAGAAACTGTGGACATAATGTAGGACTAGGCAGGGAACTGAGAGATGAAAACGCTAAGAAGGAATCAAATGGAAATGCAAACGAAATCAGAAGCAATGCAGTATAAACATTCAGCAAGCTTTGGGCACCCTCCTCAGCAGAGCTGGCTCAGCTTTTAAATGAAACCATGCACTTAAAATGTCACTAGATATTTCACAAAGTAAATTTCAGAGGAAAACAGAGTGAGGAAAGAAGCTAAACATTAATATCAAAAAGTATACTTTATGTACACTTTAAATCTGAAAAGGAGAAATTATAAATACAGAGAAAGTATTTGAAAAAATGATGGCTAAGAATGGTCCAAATTTTGTGAAAGACACTGAACTACAGATCTGAGAATCACGGAGAACCCGAAGCAGAGTAAACAGAAACAGACACAGACACACAGGCCACACACCCACCGTGGACACAGTGGTGCACAAGAAAAAGCTCACACATCACACACCACGCTCACGTTTGTCAACTTCATTATTTTTTTTACTTAGTTGTTTTAAAATTATTTGCATTTACAGTATTAAGTAGAAGTCTGAAATTAAAATATTTTAGTCTAATGGTAAGTCTGCCTACGCTTACCATGATCAAATAAACATTTTGGTGCAAATGAATGTAACTACGCTGTTAGGAAATTCACTATTTCAAATAAAAATGGTATTTTTTCCTGGCTCTGTGTTGAAGCATTTGTAATGCATGCCAATAAAATCCTTTTTAATTAAAGGGATTTTTTTAAGTTGGCACATAATAGCTGTTTATATTTATGGGGTACAGTGTGATATTTCAATACATGTGTGCCATGTGGTATGAACAAGTCAGAACAATGAGCAAATTCATGAATTCAGACACTAACATTTCTTTGTGTTGGTAGCATACAAAATCCTCTCTTCTGACTGCTTGTAAACATAAAATGTACGATATATTGTTAACTGTAGTTACCCTACTGCGCTGTAGGACACTAGAGTGTACCCCTCCTGTCTACCTGTAATTGTGCATTTGTTAACAAACCACTTCTTATCTCTCAGTCTCCTCCCATTCCAGGCATCTCATAACTACTACTCTCCTATTTACTTCTAGAATATCAACTTTTTTAAATTTCCACATAACACTGAGAAGGGCAGTATTTATTTTTCTGTGTCTGTCTTGTTTCACTCAACGTAATGGTGTCCAGTTCCATCCATGTTTCTTAAAGTGGCAGAATTTCATTTTTAAGACTGAATAATATTCCATTGTGTAAATGTATCACATTTTATTTATCTGTTCATTGTTGATGGGTGCATATGTTGATTTCATATCTAAGCTATTTTGATTAGTGCTGCAATAAACATGGGTGTACATGTGTCTCTTCAATATTAGTTTTTTCTTTTAATTATTTAAATAGATATATACTCAGCAGTTGGAATACTGACTTATATGGTGGTTCTGTTTTTTCCCATGATGGCTGTACTAATTTATATTTCCACCAGTGGCCTATAACAGTTTCCCTTTCTATGTATCCTGGTCAGCTTCTGTTACTTACTTACTTGCTTACTTATTTATTTAGTTAGTTAGTTTTGCATTTCTAACTTTCTAGCAAAGATGAGGATGAAAAGACACCTCATTGTGAATTTGCATTTTCCTGAATATTAGTGATTTCTAGCAACAGATATATGTATATATACTAACATATCTATCTACCCTTTGCATGTCTTCTTTTGAGAGATATTTATTCATGTTATTCACCCATTACTAATCACATTATTATTTGCAGTTGAGTTGAGTTTATTTTATATGCTTGATAGTAATCCCTTGTCATATGAATAGTTTTCAAATATTGTCTATCATCTGTAGGCTCTCTCTATACTCAATTGTTTCCTTTACTGTGCAGGTAAAACTTTCTTGATAGAACCTGGACAGGTGGCTGAGGTGCTGTGGGACACTGGAGGGGAACAGATGTACCCAATGTCCAGAACCAGGTGAGCTTTACTCACCATGTGGTTCTGAGTTTATGGTTTGAACAGATGCAAAATAGTTTGTCCAGGTCTTCTGGGGGGTAAAGAATTTGAAGGGAGGATGATATAACTTATTACTCAAGTAAATGAAAATGTCATAATTGTCCATATGTTCTTAAAGTGGAGTAGTTCAGCAGTGTGTGTTCATCCCCAGAAAAGAGAAAATTATGTCTGCTGTGAAAAGAATGTATAGATTTTGATATATATGGTTATTACTAATGACAATTGAGCCTGGGTACTAGGTCATGTCA